TTATGTACAGTGTAAGCTTGATAAGCCAATATACGGAGAATCCAACTGAAAATCATCTCTTAGCTGTCAAAAGGATTTTGCGATACTTAAAAGGTACCGTTGACTTTGGAATCTTTTATCAAAAAGGAGATAATTAAGATTTGCTTATTGGCTTCTTTGATAGTGATTATGCTAAAAATATTGATGATAGAAAAAGTATATCTGGTTTTGTATTCATGATGAATTCTAGAGTTATTTCTTGGTCATCCAAGAAACAACAGATAGTTATCTTATCTTCTACTGAAGCAAAGTATGTTGTTGCAACAACATGTTCCTGTCAAGTTATATGGTTAAGAAGATTGTTGAAAACGCTTCAAAGCAAACAAACATGACCAACCACAATCTTTTGTGATAATGTTTCAGCAATCAAGATTTCCAAAAATCCAGTGTTACATAAGAGAACCAACACATAGATGTTCATTACACTTTCTGCAAGACCAGTATAATAGTGGAGTGGTCAATCTTGTGTATTATCCAAGTGGTGAACAAGTTGCAGATATCATGACCAAACTTCTCAAACAAGATGTGTTTGTGAAGCTTCGGTTAAAACTTAAGATAATTTCAACTAAGGACATATCTCTAAACTGATTTTCGTAGATATCAGTTTAAGAGAGAGTGTTGAGATAATTTTAATTATTTTGTAATTATTCTTTAGAATAGGATTTTATCTTTTATCTTCTTAGTTAGTAATTATCTTAGGATTTATTTTTAGGATAATTAGTAGAATTTCTTCTCTATAAATAGGACCTTTTGTAAACAAGTTTTTAGTGTAGAATCAAATTGAGTATTTTAATTCCATCAATTGCCACGATGTTGGGATCTCAATGGCTTTGTCTTTGATTTTGGCAAAGAGGTTCATCTTCAAGTAGAGATGAACCAGGTGACAAGGACGAGATCTGAACAGCTTCAGTAAAGGGAATGAACAACTCGTCTTTGAGGGAAATAGAGAGAGTGAGAGAGAGAGAGAGAGAGAGAGAGAGAGAGAGAGAGAGAAAGTGTGTGTGTGTGTGTGTGTGTGTGTGTGTGTGTGTGTGTGCGTGTAAAGATTTGAATCGAACCCTTGTGTAGGGATTGAGTAACTGATCAGTTTTGTTGTTGATTTGGTGAAAAGGTCTGTCTTCGAGCATAGACAAATCAGGAAATGACGACAGGATCTGAATAGTTTTAGTAAAGGGGATGAATGACTTATTTTCCAAAGAGATATGATCTCAAAGAGAAAGAAAGAGATGATCAAGCGTAGACATTTGAATCAACCCTTATGCAAGGATTGAACACCTAGATCTTCAAGGCAAATCAACGATTGGGGGGGAGGGGGGAGATAAGAGAAAAAGATATCAAGGAACTGTTGGTTGTCAATGAGCAGATAAAGAAAATGATGAGACCAATGATGGTGGGCAACAATGATCGTTGGTGGGGAAAAAGGTGAAGCGCAGAAGGATATATTTAGTAATTTGACTGATGAATAATAAGGATTAAAGTGCTCAATAGGATAAATTCAATATACTGTTGAAGGGAGATAAAATTATCTCACAACTCCTAGTTTATAAAATTATCTTAATCTAGTAGTATAAAGTATGACAAAAACGTTCAATTTTTTATTTAAATTCTTTATTAGAGTTACCAAACATAGGAGAATAGGAAGATAAGATAGACTAATTTTATATTTTCTTACCTTATCTGGCAATTCAAATAGGTTTAAGAGAATTAAATGCTTTTGCCTCTTTTTTACTATCGCATGGAAAGTAATAATATACTGCACTGTTAATCATGATAATATAAAAGGGTAATAACTAAGATTTTCATTTTTAAGGATCATTTGAATGATAAAAATAAAATATCAAATAATAATTTTTTTTCAATTTAATTTCAAAAAGTAATAAATCATATTTCTTGTTTCTATTTTTAAAAAACAAAAGAAGGAAATATTTTTATTTCTAAAAAATAAAAAAAAAAACCATGTTATCAAACATGTCAATAATTTCCCAGTATTAAGCACGTGCCAAACCTCAGATCTAAAACAGTATAAATGTCAAATACCATCGCCTAATGATTCCGGATGGCAAAAAAGAGCTCATCTACTTGACCCGACTCCAATGCAATAAATGAGGGTAGAGAATAAGTCTCAATTATGTCGGATTTGACGCGGATGATAATTTATATTAATATTATATTCAACATATTAGTATATTATTTTATTTTAATAAATTGAATTATAAAAAAAATTTAGTAATAATTTATTTCTCTTTTGTTGAGGAGGTACGAAAGGAGCAGTAGAAGATGATCTGATGTGCGTAGAAGATGATCTGAGGTGCGTAGAAGAAGTAGCTCGCCGTGCTCTGATTCATTATTTGAATTTTAATTTAAGAGTACTACTAAAGTGTTTTAAAAAGGGTAATTTATTATTTGAATTTTGATTCAAGCGTATTATTAAAGTGTTTCAAAAAAGTGATTCATTATTTGGATTTTGATTTAAGAGTACTACTAAAGTCTTCTTTGGCCCGGATTGTCATGCGAATAACTCTCTTCCCAAAAGGACATTTATTTTAATATTAATTACACTAAATAAAAAAAAATGAAAAACTACCAAGCCGGCCGGGTTGAGCAAACTAATGACTCGAAGGGTCAAAATAAAAAAATTTTCAAAGAGAGTTAAAAAGAAAAAAAATTACCCATTTATAAGTATTTCTTATTTTTAAAATACCCTCTTAACCATCCTCTCTTATTCTAGATAAACGGACTGACTCAGTAATCTTCTCAAAAAAAATCCCAGAATCATGCAACCCAACTGGGGGTGTTCATGGTTTTTAAAATCATACTGTACCGAAAGTTATATTTTTTTAAAAAAAAATTATAAGTTTTGGTATTAGGTAATACTGGATCAAATATTTTAGTACGATTTAATTTTATAAATTTAAAATCGACAAAAAATTGTATCGAACTGAATATTATATATAATAATTTATTAAATTATTTATATTATATACAAAATGATTAATTTTCAAAGTATTAACTATAATTTAATAGTAAATTAAAGAAATTAAAAAGTTAAGAACTTCTATGAAAAAGAAATATAAATATTATAGATTAAAGTGTAAACATGATTTTAATATATATCTTATACTCTTATAACTAATTTATTAACTTATACATTTATTAGAAAGTGAGATCATTCTTTTTTTTTATTTTTTTTATTATCAAATTTATGTTATAATATAATGAATCATTTATCAATTTATCACTTAATTTTAATTTCATAAATTACCTAACGCATTATAAGTCTTAACTTAAAAAAAAAATTTAAATACACTTTTTCATTGTAAATAAATAAAAAGTTTCACTTAACAGATCTAAAAAGTAGTTCTAAAAAAATTAAATAAAAAAATTACAAGTAAAGAAAATTGAACTAAGTATTGGACTTTTTTTCCATCAAAAACCTTAAGTTAAAAAAAATTACCATTGCTAAAATAAATACAAATAATTGAGAATTAAATTTCAATTTATAAAATAGAAATTGTTGAATTTTATATTTTAACTATCAATAAAAATTAAGTGTAAAATAATGAATACATATTCAAAGAAAATAAAATTAAAGTTTAAACTATACCGTACTAATTTATTATGCATAATAATTTATTAAATTATCTATATTATATATAAAATTATTAAATTTCTAAATAATTGAATTATAACTTATTAATTAAAAATATTTATATTATTGTAAGTTAATTAAATCATCTAATAATGATAGATTTTTAATTAAATTGATTAAAAGTTTCAATTAAATTAGGTTAAACAAAATTATTTTTTTCATTATTTTCATATACTTTTTAATTTGTTTCTAATATATTGTGAGATTAAAAATATAAAGTTGAGATAATTATTAATAAAAGTTTTGAAATTAAAATTTTAAATGTAGGAAATTATTAATATTATATAATATTAAAATAATTTAATTTTTTTATATTAAAAATTTTTTTATAATTTTATAAAATTTTTATTAATTTACTTAAATATTTTAATATAATTTAAAAAATTATAAAAATTGAATCAAATCCTACTGAAATTAAATAAAATCAAATAACAGTATTGACATAAAAAAATATAATTTAAATTATAATATTAAAATAATTAATATAATTAATATAATATAATTTTAAAAAAAATCAAAAAAACCTGAACCATAGACTCCCCTCAGCCCAACGCAGGCCCCGTTTGTCCCTTTACTCCGACCTGCCGGTCGCCACACCTAGCAGTTTCGCTTTTTTTTTATTGTCCCAACTTGTTTACTCGACCACGTTTATGAACAGACAGCCAAAAAGCTCTGAGCCGCCAGACACCTGGGGTGTTCTCGTTGCGCCAACCATTTTCCCTTGATGCCACACATACTGATATTTCTCTTCAAGGAAATACAATTACTCTCACTCTCTCTCTAAGACGGTGATTAGTCGTGGACACGTGGTCAACGGTGGTATCATGTAAATAGCGTCTAGGTTTAATAGATTAATCTCCCAAAACCCACATTTGTTTGCGTGCTTCCAAATCCCGTTGAAAAGTCTTTTTCTCCACTCCCGGTCGTTGGATTACTATTACTCTTCTTCCCCGTATATATATCTCGTATGCAGAGGCCAAAACCACCTTGCTTTTCTACCTCATCTTTCTAGGGTTTGAAAGAGGGAAACTCATCTTCTGCATCTCATTTCCGTCCCTCTTCATCAGAGCATCAAGCAGAAACGGCTCGATCACTCCTCGATTGTCCCCATTCTTTGCTAATCTTCTTCCCGAAATCAGCCTATCTCTCTTTACATCAATTTTACAGAAGAGGAGGAGATGGGACTTTCGAAAGAAGCGGGTTCATCTTCTCATGTGCTGCAAGTCCCTTCTCTACCCAGAGAAGACACGCCGCTTTGAAATCGAAACCTCTCTCATCCAATTGGAAGACCTTTGCTAACATCTTCCTCGCCATGGTCGGTGCCGGTGTGCTCGGATTGCCCTACACCTTCATGAGAACAGGGTGGATCACGGGCTGCCTCATGCTTTTCTGCGTAGCCGGACTCACCTATTATTGCATGATGCTGCTCGTCCGAACTCGTCGGAAAATGGAATCGGCCAACGGCTTCGTCAAGGTCGCCTCCTTCGGTGACCTTGGCTACGCCGTCTGCGGGCCTGCCGGCCGGTTCGCTGTAGACGTCATGATCGTTCTCTCCCAAGCGGGGTTCTGCGTCAGCTACCTCATATTCGTCTCCACCACCCTCTCCTACCTCTTCAATTCCTCCCCCGCAAACCCTAATCCCAAATTTCTAGGGTTCACGTTTTCCTCCCTTTACATCTGGGCCTGCTTTCCCTTCCAATTAGGGTTAAATTCGATCCCCACTTTGACTCATCTCGCTCCTATCAGCATTTTCGCTGATGTTGTTGATCTGGGTGCCATGGGCGTGGTTATGGTGGAAGATTTAATGATTTTCTCGAAGGAAAGGCCAGTTCTGAATGCCTTTGGGAGCTTTTCTGTGTATCTGTATGGCTTAGGCGTTGTTATCTATTCATTTGAAGCGATTGGGATGATTTTGCCAATAGAAGTGGAGATGAAAGAAAAGCACAAGTTTGGGAAAATTCTGGGTCTGGCCATGGCTTTCTTTGCTCTAATGTTTGGAGTATTTGGGCTTCTGGGATACTTTGCTTTTGGGGAAAACACCAAGGACATAATCACTACCAATCTAGGTCGAGGCTTGATGAGCACCTTGGTTCAGCTGGGTCTCTGTATAAACCTCTTCTTCACTTTCCCTCTGATGATGAACCCGGTGTTTGAGGTGATAGAGAGGCGGCTGTGTGAAGCTAGATACTGCTTGTGGCTGAGGTGGCTAGTGGTCCTGGCTGTCACACTGGTGGCTTTACTTGTGCCCAATTTTGCGGATTTCTTGTCTCTGGTGGGGAGCAGTTTGTGCGTCCTTCTGGGTTATGTGCTGCCCGCTTCGTTTCATCTTCTGGCAAATAAAGAGGACATAGGGTGGAGTGGGATAGTGGTAGATGGAGGAATTGTGGCTCTGGGCTTGGCTATGGCTATCTTTGGGACTTGGTCTTCCCTGAAAGAGATATTTGCTACCAAGGCTTGAGTTAATTTCAATCTTCTATAAATGTGTTGCCGGGTACTGGTAGAAATTCTGCGACTGTAAACATAGGAGTTGAGTTTATTGCTATTATTATTTTTCTAATTATCTGTTGCTATGTATTTTGAAGTGTTATGTATTCTCTCTCAAGCCAGGAAACCTGCAGTAGTCTGGGAAATGGCTTGTAAAGCTTCTTAAATTTTAATGAGAAGCACTTGTTTCTTGGGTTATTACCTGCTTTTTTTTTAATTTTTGGGACTCGAAATTTGGAGAGAAGAGAAGGAAATGAGTAATATTTCCTTTATCTTTCATTATTAGAATAAATGAGGAATGGAAAACAAAAATATCCGTTATGAATCCATTTCAAAAAAAGAAAAAAGAAAACAGAGAGAGAGAGAGAGAGATGGGAACAAGTGAATCCACTTTGAATTCCTTTATATTTGGAGAGAAAATGTCATTTCTACCTTATTTAAATCTTCATAATATAAATTAAGACATGAAGGGAAGCAAATTTACTGGTTATCAAAATCTTATCATTTTCTATTTTCCTATCCGAATTATCAAAGAAGGGAAAAATTTGTAAATGTTTCTTTCCTTCATTCTTTATTAAAGGAAACCAGCTGTTTTTTGAATTATTTTCCATCCTAGGTGATGAGATTTCATATAGTGATAGGGAGAGCCAAGAGGAGATGAATAAAATGTTGGAAAACAAAGGAAACAGGGAGGATTCTCTGAGGCGGGAAATCCAAAATGAAACAGAGGATGGGGGTGAGGGGATGCAACTTTCTGATTTGAGGTTGGGCCCTGAGCTGTTTGCCTGCCCGCACAACCCATTAAATTAGTGAGATTTGATATTTGTTATAATAATTTGATTGGAGATTTTTGGAAACGTAATTGTCCAACTCACCCTGAGTGCACTTGGATGCTGTACACGTCACTTGCTCTTTTTTATTTTTTTACCATTATTTCTCTTTTGCTTTCATCTTTTTTAAATAAAAATATCCAACTTACACTTGGTTGTATTAGGATAAAATTATAATATATTTAGATTTAAACTCAACAGTGATATATTATATTTAATTTTAATTTAAAATTTTATAAAATATGTGTTTATAATATTTAAATTTAGATAAAATTTGATATTCAAGATAATAATTCGAATTAGCATTATTGTATATATATTATTTTTATATTTTATAAAAAAAATAATTTAAAACTAAAACAAGAATTTCTTAAATAGAATCAACTAATAAATAATTTTAAAGTGTTAAAATATAATATAATCATATTTGATTTATCACAAATATTATATTTAAAATTAGTTTACTAGTGTTATATAATAATTCTTTTCAATTCATTAATATATATATTTTTTAATTTTATAAAAATAAAAATATGTTTCTAATTTATGCTTTTAATAAAATAATTTATTAATTAAAATTGATAAATCAAATTTATATTATGATATATATATATATATATAAACATGTGTATATGTATTAGGATTTAAATTTATAACAAATTGAATTTAATAAAATTTATAATGATTTCATTTATTTTGAATTACAAATTTTTATAATTGAATGATATGTTCATCAAACTTTTTATTAGTTAAAAATTTTAAATAATCAATTTGAATTCAAATATACTTTAGATTAGAATTCGTTGTATTAACAGTTTTATAAACCTTTTTTTCTACTATTAAAAATGTCCTTTTTAAATATAATAATACATATTAAAAATAAAAAATAACTATATAAAACAACTTTAAATTTTACAAATTATTACATAGGAATCGGTATAAATCAAAAAATTTAATAACTTTTAAAACCATTTTTATCCCAGAAAAAAAAATCTTAATGATCGAATTTGATACAGTGATCGGAGACACGCACGCCGACAAAGTGTAGTAAAGAAGTCAAAAGATATTTCAGAACATTTGATGATTATGCCCTATTACTCATCTTAAATTTTAAAATTTGTTAAATTAATATTAATTTAATGACTATTAGCTAATCATTCAGTATATCACATTCTAAAACGTAATTTGAGTGGGTCCCGACTGGTTTCCGGAATCCACGTGTTAATAACAAGTATTTTCATTCACTAAAAATATTTTTTTCTTTTAAAAAAGGAAGATATTGCTCATGTGAGTTGTAAGTAATCGAGACCTGATACGTGTTAAAGAAAGAGAAATAATAGTACGGGAGTTCGGTCCTTGTCGTTGTCCAGCTCAGCTGACTGACGTGATGCACGAGGGTTTTTTCGGAATTTAACTATAAAAAAAATCAGTTATTTTATAATATTTAATTTGTAATTTTTTACAAAAATTAAAAGATTAACAATTTTTATTCTGAAAAAAGACGATATAAATTGCATACAATTTATAAATTTAAAGAAAAATCAGACAGAAGTGGGTCCTACCACTGGAAGATCGACCGCTTATCTCATTTGAAAATCAAAGGTCGGCTGACTTATCATACAAGGAAGGAAGATAAAAGGTGAAAACAAAGTGCCTTTGGGCGATGTCCACGAACGCTCTCTCTCTTGAATTTTTTCGTTTCCTAACGTTTTTATCGGCTCCGTTAGCGAGCTGTCCAGAAGATTGGCCAAAGAGACGGAAATCATTAAAATATCTCAACTCCGTCAGCCCTCCTTGTGGTTATCCATTGATAAGTGATAAGCATGAAGACAGCTCAGACAGGAAATTTTGCCAATGCGACAATTTACACGCCGTTCTTATCCGCTCCGAAACTAATTTAAAATTTAAAAGCGATTGAAACCACAATCTATGGGGAAAAAAATGGAGTCATTGTCCTCCCTACTCAAGGGCAAATAAAAATAATGGTTATTTACCAAAAAAATAATAATAATAATGGTTACATGATGTTCTCATTTTAGTTATAAAAAATATTTTTTATTAATAATTAATTAATAATTACATAACAATTTTATTAAAAAAATACATGAGAGCAATATAATTTTACTTGCATGAGTTAATTGTCTGATTAAAAATAAAAATAATATTTAATTTAGCTCAAAAATTATTTTTTAAATTTAATTCTAAATTTATAATTTAAAAATTTTTAACCAAATATTTTTTAAAAATTAAATGAATCAAATTCTATTTTAATTTTTACTAAGATAGATGACCCAAACAAATAAAAGTAGATTGTTCTCACTCCTTCACTAACAAGATCACGAAACAATTGTTAATCAATAATTTAATTAAATGTGAAAAATATTTTTTAATAATAAAAATAAAATTGAATGTAATTTAAATAATTTAAAAGGAGAAAATTAATTTTTACGCATCAATGATTGAGCCAAATCTAGTGTATTATAAGCGATTTGTCTTTTTTTATTGGTTTTTATGAATTGGATCAAAAATAATTTGTGAATGAGATAATCAACTCCACGGATGAATTGAGAAAGGAAACTTTTTTCGCTCTACCTTCTATTTTCTATGAAAAAATAATTTTTTTATTGGAGGATAAAAAAGGGGTCCGGATCTCCTGCAGGTATGATTTGCTGGTGCTTTCTGTGGATGATGTACACGAAGAACCAATCGGGTACGTTTCTTCTGCTCTGTCTGGAGGATATTTGGATTATCCTCAAGCTGAAAGTTACGGTAAACAATACATTATACCAAGCCACTACCAGCAGTTCTACCCATGATATGTCCTTACAAATTATAAAGCACCGAGGTGTCCTTTGTCCATGTTCTCTGAAGGTGAACCACATAACTGCACTAATTTCTGAAGCCGTGTTGCTTCAATGCAGGCGCGTTTAGTTTAGGCATTTATGCAAACACCAGGGAGGTGTATGAAGAAATAAGGATTTTAGTTACGATGGCAAACCATAAGTAAATGCCCGAGAGGAGAGGACAAAAGTGATTAATTTCCTGCGATATATAAGTTGCATGCCAAATCTACAAACATCAAGTGAAAGACAGCTTTTACTTCTCCGGCTAAGCTGCTAAGTGAAGGAGATGGGAAAAGACTGAACCCTTGAGTATAGACAGGAAAGAATCATTAATCAAATTACAATTACATAACCCATCTAGTCATTACAGGTGATTACTTGTTTGAACCTTCGTTTCCTCATAGCTCCCAAGGCTTGAGTTAATTTCAATCTTCTAGAAATGTGTTGCCAGGTACTAGTAGAAATTCTACAGAATGAAAACATAGGACTAGAGTTTATTGCTACATGACTTTGTGTTTTTTTCCCCCATTTTATGTTCCTATGTATTTAGAAGGGTAATGTACTCTCTCAAGCCAGCAAACCTGCAATTCTCCGGGAAATGGTTTCTAGAGCTTCTTATATATTTTTTTTTATTACAAATGGAATCGAAGTCCAAGAGGAAAAAAGATTAAGTGTAATGGCTCTAAACTTATTTTGATTGTTGAAAATTTCTAATTAATAGGCCTAGGGGCGTGAGTGAACAAAATGAATGTTTTGGGAGTTGAATTAAGAATCGGCAAGGGCCTCACTATAGGAATTAAAAGATTATGGGTGTTTTCGTGAAATTCGGAAAAGACTGGGACTGAAATTTAGAAATTCAGGAGATGATTGGAGAGAAATTAAAAAGGGAAGACTTGGATGAAAAGAATGCCTAAGTCTGGGGCTAGTTTAAAAGTTAGAGGGGGAGTTATTTGAAAGAAATAAAAATTTTATGAGCTAGATCGTGAAAGGAGAGGGACCTTTGGCCGTAAGCCGACCAAAGGTCTTCGAAGCCAAAATTGCTCCAATGGGAGCAAGGCAACTCCCCCAAGACCTTGAATATTTGTGGAAGGGAGGAAGATAAGTCAAATGGTGTGATCAATTTGAGTTTCGAGTGAAAAATCGAGAGAACTAGAGCTGGGAAGAGTCAACAGTGTCCAACAGGATTTTCCAGGAAAATCTGGGTTTTCAAGGTAAATTTGTTCTGATTAAAGCCTCTTAATCAGCTTGGAAGCTCAGAATTACAGTTCGTGGCTGTTGAATCAATTAGGTAAGTTGAAAAA